GCCTAATACAATAAACGTACTAATTAATTCACTGCATGTTTATCAACCCACTTAAACGGGGCACAAGACGTACCGAATTCGGACTACGAAAAAAGCTAGAAAGCTGATCGGTATATGTGGAAGACCTCATGAATACTTCCAGGGCCCTAATTTATCTAATGGAAACTTCGAATATAATACCGTTTTAATGCTAACCAGTTTGGTTTTATTGAGAATGCTACAAACAACTTACCATGAATACCTAACTTGCGTTTTCTGAGGAGTTCCAAAGTTTCAACCCCAGAGCTAAAGCTTCGGCTTTATTAGACAAGAAGTGAAACAGGTACAGTTTTGATCAACTGGATCTTTCTCCGGTTCTATCAGTTTAACATTTTGCAGATGTGAAAATCGCCTGAGAGCTCCAGGGTTCCATGGAATTTGTAAAATGTAATAACAAAATCTTTTAGAATAAATCCGACGAAAATTATTTTCGATATATCGCTTCAGGCATTTACATACATAGTTCAATTAGTCAGTATAATAATACAAGACCTAGGCTGATGTTGAATGAATGTCTGTGTGCAAAACGATAGGTTGACAACAACCTATGGGATCATGATAATTTGGTGGGGAAAAGCCGAATGAAAAACGTGTGAACTGGACAGGATATGAAAGGCGTTAGTTAATAATGAATATAACAAATGTAAACGTGTGTGTGTGTGTGTGGGAGGAGGGGGGGGAATAGAAACTGTCACATAGATATATGGGCCATTGTTCTTATGACCATGGTACCAGCAGTGCCTGAACCAGATTCCGCTGCTTGCACAACTTCGGCTTCATGAGCCTAATTACTATGCATTCCGTAGTTGTTAGGATCTTCCTATGTGCTCCTTTGGTGCAGTGGAGAAAGTTTCAAATGATGTTTCTGAGTCAATCCTGTGTCCACTGTCGACCGAATGTTGCAGTATTGAGCTGTTTAAGCTTTTCACTGTTTCCTTTCTAAGACCGGTCGGACGATGTTCAGACATTCTCATGGACAAACGCCTCGTTGTGTTTCCGATACACCGAGCGCTACAAGTGCACGTTAGCCGATATAGAACAACAGATTTGGAGTGGTGAGGCAATTTATCCTTAAGCTGTTGAACAATAAATGCCCAAGTCCTGGATGAGAAGCCTAAGTTTGCAGCGGGAAAACAGTTGGAAAGTCTTCGATGATTTTCGAAAGTTTTTCGAGGAATGTTACGTCTCGCTCAAAAGAATAGTTTTGGCTTTATTCATTATAAACAACTACAAACCCTTTGACACTCTCATTAGCTACCATTATTTTAAGTGATTCCTTATGCTCCTTCATAAATGCGTTTCAGAACACCCTGACACAATAAACTAATTTGCTACATTCTCTCTATGTAGTGCATTGAAGAATATTCGATGCGAGTGATACTTTTGATTTGTGTGTTCAGGACACAATTGTTCCAGAAAATTGCCAGGACAGACTCACATGGTTTTGCCCATTACCTTTGATGTTTCCAATGCTCTTTATTAGACATGCCGTTTAGGAAATGCCAAACACCACGTGGACTTTCAGATTTATTGACAGAAAACCAATTTTGGAGTATAGCTATTAACCTAATCAATAATGCAGTAAAATGTTGTGAGTGATCATTGTGAACCGCCATTTCAGCCACCCCTTCGGGCACAACGAAGTCCATATAAAACAAGCGCGGGTGCAGAATCC